TGCATTAGAGTCACCATGTTCCTGTCCTACCAGTGAGCAGGGAATTCGTTCATTAGAAACTTAGCTGGAGGGCAGTCCAGTTCCATAAGCTCCTGTCCCCTAATTGCTTCTGCTGATGGGTACTGTCTTTGCTTTTATTATGGAGGCAAACTACACAGCCCTTCTAATTAGATTGTAAAACGTAATAGCAGCACAGCCATAAAGGAATGCCCATTTACCCTTTGTTAAATGTAGAGCAGTGCTCAGCAAAGATCCAGGTTTGTTTTTTCCAGCCCATTTCCCCTCATCATCAGATCAGATAGTAATGAGACTATTTGTTTGTTTTTTCTTCTTCAATTACTGCAGTGCAAAAGAACATAGCCTTGATGAAGACCAAAATAAATGTCCAAACACAATTCCAGTAGTGGACACATATTTTCCTTTATTCTGTTGTCCTGTCATTTGTTTGGAATACTCAGTAATGCACTAATTAGAGCCCTTGTTCACTGTTTCCATACAAAGAACAAATAAAGGAGGTCTTTAGAAACCGAACTATTATCTCATTCTTGGGGGTGGTCGCTCAAAAAGTGTGGTGTGATGAATATTCCCAAGATGTCATGCATGCTGTACTGAATTTCACAATAAAATATTAAGAAGGGCAGAAGAGGGGATTCAGTCAAGTCAAAAGATCAAGAGCTGGTAAATAAAGAATGCTATGTCTACGGTTCTGACATAAAGCCACACAATAAAGTTTTTCTACTATGTTGGTGCTTGGTGCCTTTTTTACCTGTTTGGCCCAAGGCAGAAGCATCTGCAGAAGGGGGTCAAAAATATAAAGTTGGCAGCCGTGACTGCATGATCAAAGCCCTACTACATTTTTACATGCAACATGAGCATTATTTTGACTTTTTGGGACCCCTCATCTGCAGATGACCTGGCCTGAGATCTCTTAATGACAAAGCACAGTTGAAGTACTGAACTTCAACTGAAGTCTGTGACATATTGTGGATGTTCCAATTAAAAAATAATCTTTACATTATCAAGAAATAGGATGCACAACCTAATTTAAGAATGGCCTAATCTATAGAATAGTGGAGATTTCTAACAAATTTGCCTACATTATGTCCCAAAGGTGCTTGTTTTCCCTTGAAGATGTTTTGCTTCTTATCCAAGAAACTTTTTCAGTTCTTCAGAAGCTTCTTGGATGAGAAGTGAAATGTCTTCAAGGGAAAAAAAAGTCCAGTTGCCTTTTGAAAAAGTATATTTGCGACAACCATGACCTGGATGACTGAGAATCTCCATAGATATTTGCCTACATTATGTTTTCAAATTTATATATTTGTTGCACTTCCGTAACTCATACAATAATTTGCATTCCCTGATCCAAAAAATAATGAAAGAATGTTCTCAATATTTTAATTTTGATAAGATTTTTAGAAGGGATATAAATCACAGCTATTGAAAAATTGAAACTGAGAGGCACAAAATGGGGCAAATGAATGTATAGCTTTAAGAATGCCTTTGCCTCCAAGGATTACTTGTTACACTCAATTTCTTTCTAAAGCTTTTCCAAATTCATGTGTCATTTATGTAACTTGTTGAACAGAAGGTTTTTGGTACAGAGTCTTCTGAACAGGTTAGCATATATAAACTAGGCCTTGGGCAAGTGCTCTATATTTAAGGTATGTGCTGAACCATGTTATTATGTTGTTAAAGATTAAATAATTAGCAGAACATGGTCAAGATCAAAGTGATCTCCTGTGTCAATGGTAATTAGGAAGCAACCCAAAATATGGTACCTAAGGACTCCTGTCCGTAACAGTAACCTGCTCCAGTTGAACTGTGTGGTTTCAGCATGAAATCTTATCCACCAACATTGTGTTTTTAATTCAAAATCCTTGTCTGATGTTAATTTAAGAAACGAAAGCATTTAAGCAGCCTGAGCCACCCAAGGTAGTCACTGGAAAAAAAGAATATAATTCATATCCATGCTAAATGAAAACAGCAAGCGAGACAGCTGGCTTGTGACCTCCAATGCAAAGATTGTTTACCAGGCTGGGAGGCTGGAGGGGACACACCACCCAAAATCATCTTCTCCCTTTTCTTAAAGACCTAATGTCAAAATACTCCCACGAACAGCCTTGCTCCAGTTCAAGTTTTTACCTATCCTTCAGACTCAATCAATCAATCTGTCCAATGATTAGTCAACCAGTCAACCTAATATCCCGTATCTTTTTTTTTTCTTTTATTCTTGTTGAAAAAAAGGACCTCAAAGGCAATAATGTACTTTATGTTGCATTATTCATATGGGTTTCAAAATCTTTTAAGAATGCCTTGGACAACTTGTCCAATAACTTAAACAATTTTCCAAATATATATGAGTCTTTTTTTTCTATGCTCTAATATAGAGAAGGGGGGGGGAACCCTTTGGCCCTTACATTTTTTTAGGGCCAACCAAAATAATGACAAAAAGTGTGCCAAATATTTCATTAGAATTCTCACTGGCAGGATCAGAAAGAGAATCTTCTCTGCTATTGGAACATTCTACACACAGGTCATTATTTTGGTTGGCCCGAAAAAAATGTGAGGGCCACAGGGTCCCCCCTGTCCTCTGTATCACAGCATACAAAAAAGACTCATAGGAAAAGGATTGCTTTAGCAATCACGAGGGACTATGCATTTTTTTGGTCAAGGAACAGAATATAAAATTATACTTATTCTGCTTAAAATCAGTTGTGATCGTTTGTAAAATCATATTAAATGGGATATTAAATAAAGGGGGAGAAGCAAGGACATTTTAATTAGTTTATCCATTCTTGGCAAACTTAGGTTTAGGATAATTATTTATTATTAAGAATAATAACAATACATTTTATTTTGCTGGTTCTTTTGGGGGGGGCAAAGAAGATTTTAGGCTGAATATCCTTTAACAGTAAGAACACATTGAAATACTGGTTAGAAATTGTGGGAGTTGAATCTAGCACATCTACAAGGTACCAGATTGGTAAGAAAATGCATTATCCCTTGTCTTTACTTAACTAGACTGAATGTTTAGTAAATATATTGCTAGCATAGTTGATATATCACAGATAGTAAAAAAAAAAACCTATTTGTAAAAAAGGGAGATGCTGAAGATAGAATACATGCAGTTAGCAAAATCATTTCCTACCCAACTCACATCTGAATAGCACTTCAAAGTGACTTTCAAGCCATTTCTGCTACAATGCCACCAGCATCGCTGTAACCCAAATCTCCTGAACAGATGTTTTTCTGAACTCCGATACTAGTGCTCTGAAGCTGGTGACACCCGGGTACACTCGGAAAAGCAAAACTCCCCCTTGAGTTGATCAGGAGGCTGCTGAAATTGAAGATAGAAAGGCAGAGAGTGTCTTTGTTATCCTGCAACCATTTGCTATTGTTTATCTTTCTCTCTCTGTAATCTAAACTGGCTGATGACAGCAGGTAGACACTAGGAGGGCAAAGGACAAAAACTATATATCAGCATAAGAGAATACAAGGTTCAGCAATAACTCCTGATGATAACTCCTTTTTCATTGATCGTGGATGAGGTAGAAAGGGTTTTCCAACAACCTACACAATCTTGACTCTCAAAGCTGAACAGGCAGCCCATCTCAAATGACCGATAGCTTGAAAACCACAACAGGAAAGGATTGCTTTCTTTGTTGTGAGATTTATCTACTGCTTGAAAACAGGATTCTATAAGACATTAATTGAACCAGTATTCCAATTCAATCTTAACTTTATTACTTTTAACCTCAATTGAAATGTTTAATGTTACTTTATTGAATAAAGTATAATTCATCCCTGGCATAATTCATCCCTGAAGGAATTCTGAAGAGCCATACTGTCACCTGCTTCTAGAATGCCATGAAGATGGGGGCCACAATTTACTAGGAGGAAAACTGTTTCAAAGGAAAGCAGATATTCCAGAGAAGACCGTCACTGGGGTCCATCCTATCATACCATCAGGTAACTGGGGACTCTTAGAAAGTTCTCCCTAGTTCTTCAGATAGAGTGAGCAAAAGCTGTTAGGAAAAGGCAGTCCTTCAGATACCCAGAGTGTTAGGCATGATCAGATCTTAAGAGGTACTCAGAAATCAACAAGTGGAGCTCCTGAAGCAGAAGTGTATCACATCAATATCATGACTGACCATTGAGCACATATATTTCTGTATTTTGGATCAGTTGAAATTTCCATCTTCAAAGACCCTGTACAGCAAGACATATAAACTGATCTACTATCAATAATGTGTCCTGTTCTAGACTATTTGTTCACTAGCGGAAGCTATGCAAAAACTATTCTGCCACTATCTCTACCAGGTGTTCCAGAGTCTGATCCTGATCTAAGAAGACCAACCCCCTCCCATCCAAGTGGTATAATTCTGGAGTCAGACAGACTTCAGATCAACAACCAATCCATCATGCTTGGGTTCAGTCTGAGCCTCTTTGTTCCTGTGCAATTTGACCTTCTCCAAATACTGGATTATGATTTTCACCACATCTCCTAACAGGCTCAGGGTAGAGATCTACAACTGGTAATTAATACTACCTCACCCTAAACTGCAGAAGTAATTATATCAGTGATGTAGGTATGGAATGGGAAGAGGTAAAGGACTGAATCTTGAGGTACCTCATGACAAAGTCCCTATAGGTCTGATCTCTCTCCTCCACCCTTAATTTGGATTCATCCATTGCAGACTGTACTTCCAATTCCCTTCTCTCAGAAAAACAACATGGCTGACATGTTGAGAATTAAGAAGAGATACACCAACAGAAAAATAACTGCACTGTACCACTTTTCTTGTTTAGATAAAGCTGGAATCTGGGCTTTTATTCATATCTAAGCAATTTTGCTTCTTTTTTTACCAGCATTGTTCTAATCACTTCTTCATTTCTGCTTCATTTCCTAGAGATTCCATAGAGATAAGTGGGATTGGTGAGCAGGGAAAGGCCACTTATGTATGATCCTTTTATTAACCTATTTGTTTCCATATTCCAAAGGTCAAAACAAAGTGCCCAACAGAATCTTCTTCCAGATTGCTGGGAAATTCTCCAGGTGCTGTCAAGAAGCCTACTGGATCCCACAAACATCTGAGACAAGCCATCTTACTGACCCCTTCTTACCAACAGAGGTTAGTAGTTACAATTAACCCTCCTTGATGACAGACTGATGGGAAAAAACCCACCCAGAACCAGATTACAACACAATTGCTCCATGGTCTATAGAGATTCTCAATTATCCAGGTCATAGTTGTGCTTTTTCAAGGTGCTTTTTCAAAAGGCAATTGGACTGGGTTTTTTTTTTCTTGAGGAAGAAGAAGATATTTCATTTCTCATCCAAGAAGTTTCATTAGTTCTTGGAAGAGAAGCAAAACTTCTTCTTCTTCAATCAAAAAACAATCCAGTTGCCTTTTGAAAAAGCACCTTTGAGACAACTGCTCCAGGATTAAAGATAGATCTAAAGCACAGCTAGGCATGGAAGTTTATTTATTTATTTATTTATGAGACTTATATACCGCTTTAAGTGCAAACATTCTCTAAGCGTTGTACACCAGTAAGCAATGTATATATATATATATACATTGCCCCCAACAATCTGGGTCCTCATTTTACCTACCTTGGAAGGATGGAAGGCTGAGTCAACCTTGAGCCGGTGAGATTTGAACCACTGACCTGCTGAACACAGTCAGCTAAAGTGGCCTGCAGTACTGCACTCTAACTGCTGCGCCACCTCAGCTTGGACCATGGAACAAGCCTATAGCTGCATGGTGACCATGAACTTCCAGGATACTTATAAGACTCTATCGTCTTGCCACATCACCTTTCCTACCCAAGGGTTGGGACTGATATAGCTGAACAGATCTCCACAAGAGGAATTCTCTACTTTTCATCCAGATAGCTCTCAGGGATACACATCAGATCTATTATTTCATCCACAGTTAAATCATGGATCATTTTAGTTTTATTGCAGCCAGATCTAGTATTCAGTAACCTGTTATGTCCTGTTTCAGAATTCTTAGGAATCCCTGATTAGCTCCTGTGGGAGACAGATGCTAGATCAGATAAAACTTATTTTGATCTATCTTTTCTCTTCATATATCCTTCTAGGCAGCACAACTGTAACCATGGCTGGCTTCTCAATTGAATTTGTCTCAAAGATTAGCAAGTTGTGAAGATCCTTGCTACCTAGCCAGCTATCACCAATTTTCACGCCCATCCTATGCAATCTCCCACCTAACACAGGTGCTGTTTCTCTGAAAGGAGTTAGAATTCCACAGATGATTTTCCTTCTGTGGCTATATTATCACAGGGCATTTACCCTTTGTAACACTATCAACAGGTAATCAAATTCTTTCCTCCCAGCACACATCAATGTTCATCACTAGTGAAGAAATTATAGGATGGGTTCTAAAATGTCAATTTTTTTATTAAACCAATGTTTACAAACTAGTAACTGCATTATTAGGCAGATAAGCTTATTATAGTTAAAATAAATCACTGAGATTTGGGAAAACATATTATACAAGATGTTTTAAAAGGGGGAGGAGGAGGAGGAGGAGAAGAAGAAGAAAGGGTAAAGAATCATTCACAATTTATTTAGGCCTAAATAGCCAATTGACACAAAGGGTCCTTGAAAATCCCATGGTATTCCTTTGTCAAATGAGTTTCTGAGACAATATTAAAACTTGGAGTTCAAGTTTCAAATCTAACATGGAGTATTGAAATATATTGACGAGGCATTATTGTCTGTGAGGCATATTCAGTGAAAGATATATAGTAAATGCACACTATTTTTGCTAGTTTTGTTGTCATTATGTCATGTGGTGGTCATAATCAATGCTGTTGTGACCAAGGAGCATTTCCCAGGCCCTTCATCACAGTGCAGCTTTACATTCACTCAAAAGCTTATCTTAGCACCAGGGAACCTTTCACAAAGAGCCAGCAAGATGTGAAAGGAAAGGAAAGTGAGGTTAAGTGAGATCAGATAGTCTGGTCATTATTAAGAGGCCATGCATTGATAGGGATCTGTATCCAGGCTTTCCAGAGTCTTATTATCCAAAGAATATGTGCAATGGTAAATACTTCCTAAATAGAATAAATCTGAGAGTTGTTTAAAAGGTTAGTTCAGAGATAGGTAACTTTTTAAGCCAGTGGGCCTGACACACAATAGAATACCATATATGGAGGGAAAGTAGAGTAAATCCCAAAAATGAGTTCCCTCAAGCTTCATCCTCTTCAAATCCCTCAAAAAACACAGAAAAAACTGCCTCAGGCTTTTTTTTTTTTACTTTGCCCCTGCCCATGCTGCAGACCAATAGGTTGACCACCATCCACCATTAACCAGGATGCTGCACTTATGTAGATAACTATAATTGCATACCCACCCCCTCCTCTGTGACAAATAAACCTGAAGCATTAGAGCATGATTCATCATCCCTTGCCTAATTACTAAAGTAATAATTAATTAAAATGACTCATCAAGCAGACAATGACTGTCTGTTTTTCACAAACAATTAATAGTTTAGGATTTGTCATTTTGCATGCATGAACTCTTATAAGGTACTTATTATTTCTGTGCACATATCTGCCCTAAAAAAAAAGGCTCATAGCAATTTAATGCAACGAGAATTTAAAAACAAAACAATGATACAGCTAGTGTGCCCAACAGTATCCTCAACTCTGTTCCTAAAACTTTTATGCAGCTTAATATACAGAAATTAAATTATTTTTCTTGCTTCTTTTAGGAAAGTTGTATCTTTGTTGTTCACATTTATGTTTCACTAAAGTCACAGGCAAAAGGCTAAAATGTGTATTTAAATTAGTATTTACTAAGTTATTAAGTTCTACTTAACCTTCCCCAGATTGATGCCTTTCAGATAGATTGGACTACAAGTTTTGAAATTTCCACAAACTTTTAGGAATAAAGTAAAACATAATTAAAGACCAACAGATTAGGGAAAAGAGTAAGAAAGATGACTTTGATGAAGATATATAAGAATCATTGTCAGGTGATAAGGGATAAAACATATTTTAGATCCACAACAGACAACTAATATTTGGAAGAAACTCAGTCAAACACCATTTTAATTCACTATATTGTAAGTAATAAGATGAAGTACAACATAGTTAGACTTGGAAGATTCTGTTAATATAGCCAATAAAAGTACTTTTAGTCTTCCAATGGAGTTGATTTATTGGTGAAGTCTACCTAGTGTAGCTGATATCAAGAAAGCTGACAAGAATCATTATCTTGATTCTTGTTCATTAAAAATGGAAGCTAAACAGTAGAGTCTTTAGTCTCTGGAGAATACCAAGTTGAAGAAGACATGTTTGTATGGTAACATATTTCTTACTGTACATATCTCTAATGATGAATCCTGAGAAGTACATGTTGCTCATGCCATGCTAGCATCTGTCTTTATGTATTTTTGAACCTCTCCACAGACATATCCCTAAAATTGTCAAGAGTCAGTATCAACCTGAAGACTTTGCCCATTATTGTTAGAGCTGATGGAAGATATTAGTTCTATTATTCTGAAGTTTCAGACTGGAAACTGCTGCAATTTTTAGTCTGTAAAGGACCAACAGAATTTGTCCTTCATTATACCTTCCTTTGAGATTTAATTGAAATATGGGAAGTCAGGAAAACTGTACATCACTGGACAAATGACAGTGTAATAAAACAGAAAGCATGTGCATAGACTCCTGGGCCATCTTGTAGCTATGTGCATTCTTGAAAATGTCTTTTTCTCCCTTGAAATGGACATCTTCAAATGAAATGAGAATTAGCAAGAGAAAATGCAGGAAAAATCTTTCTGCAACTTTTTCTTGTCTTCATTTAGTTTGCCTTAGATATTTGTAGAATTAAACCAGCCATGTAAATGTATCATTCAAAATCAGCGGATAGAACTGTCTTATAGCCTTTGCCCTCAGCATTTATACAAATGTACAAAACAAGTTGTGGAAAGGAAGAAAAGTAGAAACAGAAAAGCTCTAGTGTGGGCTGCTACCAGCTTTTAAAGCCAAAACTTTTTCTTCAAAACATCCATAGTGGCAACTTTGTGGTTAGTTTGGAACCACAAGGCTAGTTAGCATCTGGAAAAAGAATCGTATGAGAGTCCAGAGAAAGCATGTAAAATAGCTGAGAGCAGAGGACATCTAAGACAATATGAGCTTGTAATATTATTAGCTTGTTCTGGTTAGGTTAGGAGGCATATATCTATTTCTATCTCTATGTCTATTATCTCTATCAACTCTCTCTCTCTCGCTCTATCATCTCTATTGTCTCTATCATCTCTATCATCTGTTTTAATTGTACATTGCCCAGAACTGCTCTGTGAGATAAGCAGTTTCCAAATTTGATCAATCAATCAATAAATATTTCTATCTCTACAAATGTTATGCCATCCTATACACACACTTCATGACCTTTAGGATTCTAAGCTCTGGTGCTGTTGGGCTTATTTTAAATCAAAAGCCAATGTTCCAGCAGCTGTGCAAGTGAGGAACGCCTAAGAAAATAAATACTAGTTAGGGTGCTATTTAATGCTGTTAACTCCAGAGAGTGGAGGCTGGAGGGCAGAAGCTTTTCACAACTTTTATTTGCAAGACTAACTCCATGTGGTTGTCACGACAGTTGTCTTTGTGGCCAGAGCTGTATTGCTAACAGATGGAGACCTGGCAGCTTTTTCTAATTTATGCAGGCACTTAGGAGGACCTGAGAGAAATGGAGAGAAAATTTGTATTAACCTTAAACAAACCTTTCTGTGCTCTGCTAATATGGGGGCTGTTTTGTAAGGCAAAGCAGATGCACTCTCCCATTTCTATCTTGTCTCACAATGATGTGAAGAAACTACAATAAGAAAAGAGGGCATCTGAGCTCTGAAAGTGACTGTTCCTGAAACATCTCTAGAAGCCATGATTAAAGAGCTGCAATGCAGATGTACAGGTTTTGACTCACGTTCAAAGATTTGCACATGAAAGGACATCCCCAGCTATTTCGGCATCAAGGCTAACCCACTCACTAAACAATCTCCCCCTATCTGATACTGTCAAGACCTCTTTGGATTTCATCTCCCACAATTGCAGCAGTATGCTCACAGTCCCAAACATATCTGAAAGGCATCAGCTT